GCCGGACTGCCGGCCCCGTCTTCGCCCCGCTGCGCTCGGCTGCGTTTCAGCGCAGTCCCGGACGCTGACCCGGGGACAACAAACAGCGCTCCTTATTAGAGATGCGAACTCTCGGGGAAGAACCGAACCGCCTAGAAAAGCAAGCGCGCAGGCATCGGAACAAGTGGCCAGACCTTCTGCACTGCCTGTGAAAGTGACCTGTAAAATACCACGGAGGGCTTTGCTCTCAAAGCACCAGATTTCAGAGTACAGGTTTTATCAGAACGTGACGGTGGAAGCTGTTCTTATTATTTATTTGGCTTTGCCTCTGGAGATCGGGCGGTGTTGTTGCTCCCTGCCCGCGCGTGGGTGCAAATCCCTCCCCAGCCAACTCTTAGATGTCAAAGCCCCATGGTGGGGGGGACAGACTTGTAGGTATCTGCATACTCTGATACCGTTATTTCGGGTCCTTCAAGAATTAAAAACACGCCTCCCTTTTAGGGAGTGACAACTTGGACTTCAGTGGGCGATGCGATTTTAACAGGCGCAGCCAGGTAATTCTGCGATGTGGGAACTGCACACCTTCCTGTTCAGTGTGAAGATAGATAGATGTCTTCGGGGTGCTGACCCCAGAGCCAGAGCTAGGGAATCCTGCCGGGGTGAGGGTGTAACCCCTCTCTGCTGTGCCCCGCGGTGTTGGGAAGGGCTTCCCATCTGCTCTAAGTGCCTTGCCCTTTATAATGTCAGAAAACCTTCCTGCCTGCAGATATTGGCACGAAGCTGACATGACGGGCGGTGCTGCTGTAAATAGGAAGGAGACCGCGGGGCAAAAAGAAAGTTGCAGCCTTCCTACTGGGAGGCTACCTGCTCCCCCTCCTCTGAAGGCCGAGTTCTGGCAAAGACTACTAGGAAAAGCTCCTCTTCCTAGAAGCGTGGGAAAGGATTCGGTTGTATTCCAGGAACAAAATCTCTGATTTTTCAAGAACTGGGATGTACCAAAACAGGTCTCCCCAAATCAGCTGCCACGGGAGGAAAGAAAGGTTGGCATCTGAACGTTTGAACCCCTGTGCCCTGGTCTCCCTCCTGGCTGTTGTTCAGTGAAACTGGTCGCTGAGAGAAACTTTAGAGGGGTTTCAGCACAGCTCTTGTATGTGGTTCTTCAGGTTTTGTCCGAAGCTCGTGGATCAGAAAGGCTGCTTTGCTCCCGGATGTGCTGGGGAAAATCTGCTCTCAGCCTTGTGCCGGCACGGAGCCCACATTTTCCTAAGCAGGACCCGGGCTGGCTCTGGCGTGGCCAGGATGCTCAGACCTTGAATCATGCCCTTTCACACACCACATAGCCAGCCAGGGCATCTCTCCCGTTTGGGTTGATCACGGTGCCCACCACACCCAAAGAAAGCTTGGTCTTCCTTCCCCATCTCCTGCCCTAAGATGATGATACCACATAGCGTCCTAACTTTCTGTGCTTGGTTTGAGTTGAATGTGCTCAGCTGTCTGCAGCCTTTCTTCCTGTCTTCCCTTAGCAAGAGTTTCTGCTTGGGGGGCACAAGCCTGATAGACCTCCCTAGCAACAGCTGTGACAGTTTTGAAGGTGCCTTGGGCACTGGTGGTGGTGGTGGTGGTGTGGTGATGTCACCACTTCCCAAACCAGCTGACCTGTGCCTTGTCATGTTACAGATGAGGAATCTGAGGGGCGGAGAGAGAGAACTGACTTACTGAAGGGCATGCAGGAAGCCCATGCAGGGTCTGCAGCCGCCCCTGGGTCTCTCCATCTGAAGTCTGATTGATTGCTGGCTCTTTATGATAGTACAATAAACTACTATTCCGTGAGCATCAGCTGTGCGCCTGGCCATGTGCTGTGCCAGACACGCTCCATAAGTCATCTTACCACAACTTGGAGTGAGCATACAAGTGAGCTTTCAAAGGGAATATATGCATAAATAAAAATACTACAAATAATACAAAAGAGCATAAAATGAAAGTAAAAGTGTCCCACTACACTCCCTTTCCCAGGGTAACATCTCGGGTTTGTATTTACAGGGGGGTCTGAGTATCTGGTAGATGAAAGACTCAGTCTAAGCAGCCAGGGCTGCCTGTTTCCAGACTCCACACTGCCCCGGGTGCCACACTAGCCCAGGTGAGCAGGAGGAAACAGGTGCATGAGGTCACCTTCCTTCGCCTTCCTCCTGTCTTATCTAAGGTCCCACCAATGCTGTGTATTTTCAGAAACAGAGCCAGGACTTCTTAGGTGCTTGTGACCTTGTAATCACAGTGTCACTGTGTTCCCTTCGGGCCTGGGGCTTGGTTGCAGTTCAACAGGTGGCCCTACCACATCCTGTCACCACCCTGCACAGCCTCCATTCTGTACCAGGTCCAGGACTGGAGGAGGCCTCTTAAGATGTGGTTTTCTTTCCCCGTGTCTCTCTGAGGGTTGTTGGGAGACAGAGAGCTGACTTGAGATGCTCAGCCTCTCTTATGTAAATATAGCAGCAGTTTTTCAAAGGCCCCAAGGGCCTCTGTGGCCCTTCAATTTGAAGCAGTGGAGATTGAGGGTTCTTTGTAAAATGGATGTTTTTGGCGCTTGAAGGTTTGCATTCCATGTGGGATTGTGTCCAGGGGTTAGGGATATGTCAAAGTGGAGAAAGGGTGTTTACATATCCACCAAAAATGGGAGCATGGAGTCTTTGGAATTAGGAGATTTCAGCAAGCGTGGAGTGTATTTCTTTGTTGAATCAAGTTGGTAAGGATCAAGGAGCCATGTATTCTGCGTGGGGGCACAGGAGGTGGAACAGAGCAGAGGTACGGTGGGAAGGTGCATAAGGCTGTGCCTTTGGTAGGTGCCCACTCCCAGGGTTCTCAGTGCTTTCAGGGGCAGGCAGAGCGGGCCTGAAAGATGAGCCCAGAAAGCTGTAAGCTTTCCAGAATGAGCTATTTACTTTGTTATTTTCTGTGAGTGGAAAGGGGAGGGATAGAGGATGGGTACAGCAGTTCTCCCAGGAAGCACGTCCTGCCTTTGAGGGTTCTTCATTCTGGGAGAATTGCTAAACACATCCCGGGCTAGGAGGGAGGAGAGGTGCCGGCCGCCGGCCACTGGTCTCCTAGGCATTGCAGAGCAGAGGACCCTGTACCATGTGCCATGGGAGATTGGGGGGACAGAGGCTGCGAGCTGTCGGAAAGGACGGAGAATGTCTGTAGTACACGGAGGGGCTGGGAAGTGACCTGTCTATAATGAGAAACTGAAGGAGGGGAAGTCAGACTTTCTCCAAGACCCTGCCTGGCTTCAGAGCCCGGCTTCAAGGTCTGTCAGGACAGAGGACGCTGCGCCCCCTGGTGTCAGGCTGGCAGCCGGTGCCAGCGAGCTGCATGGAGACCTGTGGACAACAGACAGAGAACAGGGACCAGCTGGAGACGGCTGCGCCTCAGACCTTGTCCTCAGTTTGCTAAGGGAGCTGCAACTGAAATAGCCTTTGATTTCTCAACTCTGGAGTCTAAATAGGGATTCCGATGCAGAGACAGCAAGCTCGTGTGTGTGTGTGTGTGTGTGTGTGTGTGTGTGTGTACACATGCACTGTTTCTGCATGCAATTTAGGCCAGCAGAAGAGTATCTGTTTAAAAGTAGCCCAGTGGGGTGAGAAATACACGGGCCTCAAAGAAAAGACCTGAATTTTGGGTGGAATTCTGGCTTGGGCCAAATCATTCAACATTTTAGAATCTTCTCCTTGTCTTAACGCCAAGGAGTTTAGAGTAAGATGCGTTTAAGATATGTTCTCAGCTTTAATATTGGGACACATTCAGTAATCATCATATGGCACCCCTTTTTCTCAGAACCTTGCAAATATGACTTTAAAAAATTTATATGCAGGTGCAAATGTTATATGCTTCTGCATCATGCATTTCCTGATTCTGAGCAAAGATTTGAAAAAGGAAGAATGCAGCTCTTTTGGACAGAGAAGCTTGCCTCTGCCCCCCAACATTTTGCGGAAGGAGCATTCTGCAGAAAAGCTGCAGGGTGAGCAGGACTTCAATCTCTGCTATTTCTTTTAAAAATAAAGCACTGAAGTGTTGCGCTAGAAATTCTGCTACTAAGTGTCGGATGTGGTAGGTGTGAATACATGTTTCAGTAGTTCCAGGCACAAGACCAAATCTTCCCCCAAATTAGCAGAGTCTAGCTATAATCTGGCTAACATTTTTCTACAAATAAGTACAAAGACCATTTGGGAGTACGTTATCTTTGAAGGGCTACTCATTGGGTTTCCATTGGAATTTAGGGCCGTGGCTTACACAGCCTGGCAATGGGAGTAGGGCTAGTCCTGGAGAATTGCCCCATTGCTGAGTTTTCCACTCCTGAAGCTTCCGTGTGTCATCTGTGAGGTGAACGGTCAGCTATACCTCACCCCTGTTTCTTCCTTGTACCTTCTGTATTGCACGTGAAGCATTGTCTCTATGGAATGGGCACAGTTTTGTTTTTTAAGGAAATTGGTATCCTGGGAGGAACATCCCACAAGCAGTGACTTTGGCCTTACAGGTGCAGCTATGGTTCCATAAGTGTCCCATCCCATGTGCCGCAGGGGAGGAGCAGACCCCTCTGGAGAGGTGAGCCAGGCTGGGAGGAGCAGCACCAGCGAGATACAGATGGGCGCTGACTCTTGCCTCGGGGAGGGGAGACCTTGTGTAGGAGGCCATTTGGGGGGCAGGGGAGTGCAGAATTCATATGTTGGGGTGTTATCCCCCAGCACCTCTGGATGTGACTGTATTTGAAGACAGGCCCTTTAAAGGGATAACTAGGTTAGAGTGAGGCAGACTCAAGCTCAGGGTCCTTATAAGAAAAGTTTAGGAGGCAGACATGTCCAGAGGGGCGACCATGTGAAGGGAGGCAGAGAAGGCAGCCATTTACAAGCCAAGAGCAAAGCCTTGGAAGAAACCAGACTTCCTGATATGTTGTTCTCAGATGAGAGCCTGCAGGATTGTGAGAAAATAACTTTCCTTCATGTAAGCTACCCAGTTTGTGGCATTTTGTTATGGAAACTCCAACCAATGAACGGAAGTTACTATTTGGAACCAACCAATTTTGGGGGGCCATTTGAACACACAAATCTTAGGTCACCAGGTTTTCTAGTTTAAGGATTTTTTTTCTCCTTAACTATTGCAGCAGAGCTAGCTAACTTCACCAGTGTGTCACACATGGGATCCCATACTTCAAAGTGGCTTGTGTTTCTGGCCTCTCTCTCTCTCTCTGCTCTGTAACAGAGAGTGAATCCAGGAGTCCCCAAGCAACTAACATTCCCAGACCATTTTTTAAACTTATTTTTGAGTCAGGGCTTACAGAGCTGAACAGTCTGGCCTGAAAGTTGTGATTCTCTTGTCTCAGCTTTCTACAAAACTGAGATTACAGGTTTGTTTTAATACTCTACTATTATCTCGACTTTTTTTTTTTTTTTTTTTTTTTTTTTTTTTTTTTTTTTTGTACCAAGGATCAAACTCAGGTCCATGTGCAGCGGAACCACTGAGCTAAATCTGCAGCCCTTGACATTCTTAAATTTTCAAAAAGGGACTTGCTCTTTCATGTTGCGCTGATTGCCAATAACAAAACCAGCCCTGGTTGACCAAGAACATAAAATTTAAATATGGTGTTATGATTTGTATCTAAATGTCCCCCAAAGCCTTGTGCACTTAGAGGCAGAGATTTTGGAAGATGACTGGATTATGGGGTGATGTAGCTGACTTGCTGTTAGGAAGTGGCTCTGGTCAGAAGGGGCAGTCCCTAAAAGCACAACCTGGAACGGTGCATCTCCCTCCTGTACCCCTTTTTTCTCTCTCTGTTTCCTGTCCACCAAGGAGTGGCATCTTTCCTTCATCCAGGCCCTTCCACCATGCCAGCAGCCATGCAAAGGCTGAAATCACTAAAACTCAGGAGCCGGATTAAACCGCTCCTCCTTTAATTTATCGGTGTTGGGTATTGAGTCCCAGCAGTGAGGAAGTGGCTAAGACAACCAATGTGCATGCTGAGCTTAGGAGTGTCCAGCAAAATGTGTTTAGTGCTAGAGCAGCAAGGGACACTGCCTTGCTTCCTTTTATTGGTAACTGGATTGAGACTTCTCATTCCTCGATAATCACTGGCAAATAAATGATGATGCCCAGAAGATTCCCCAAGTGTCATCCACTGAGATTCCACACGGCCTCCTGTGGCCCAACCAAGACTTCTACTTCACGTTGAGCACTGTGGACGTCCCAATATGAACATCTCAAGGGAAGGCCCAACATAGGAGCTGAAAGGCTGGGGTTCAGGATGAGCTCGCCTGTGTGTGGCAGCTGCGGAAGCTCTCCCGGGCTCAGCCACTCAGGCTTGAGCTGGGCTCTGGGAACCCAGAGCCAAGGATGCCAACCAGGATACCAAGCAGTGCTGCCCCACGGAAAAATAACACAGACACTACAAGAAGCAACAGTGGGATGGATTAGTCGCCGGTTTCCAGCTTGAGTTTGTAGGCTCCTGTGTTCAGCCAGCCCTAGGAGTCTCCGATTCTCATTTGAGGTTGAGTTAGGAGGTCTGGGATGGAGAGGAAAGCCTGGGCTGTCAGACTGAGAGCCTTGGCAGTCCTGGGCACATCACTGGAGATAAATGATGTCCTACCTTTATATGGCACACGCCCACCCCGCTGATTCTGATTTGGAAGGGAAAGCTGTGCTCTTGGTTAAAGGAACAGGAGTCATCAGTGAGGAGAGTCTTGAGGATGTAATGGGGAGGTACTGTTTTTAAGGATATACCTTGATTTATAGAAGCTCACTGAAAAGTACGATAGTGGAATGTTTAGTCAGGAAGTCTGCTTTTCTAGTTCTATTTCTGCTGGGTCTGACTGAAGAGTGTAAATTTTAAAAGAAGTCATTTCTTATGCACATTATGCAAACTCCCTTAGGGGAATGAGTGAAAGACTGTTTGAGACGCTCTGCATTTCTTGGAAGAAAGTTGCTATATAAATTAATATAGAGCCCTCTTTTTTATTGCAGGCCTGCAGGACACATGGAAGGACTTTCCCCAAATCATGCTCCAGAGAAAGGAAACTCTCCACTGGTCTGCATCAGGGAAGCTAGTTTTCCCCCTTCTTTTCTGTAAGTTTTCCAAATCTTATGACTCTAATTTCCAGATCAGAAAATAGGATTCTATGTTTACTATTCTCTGTCCTCTGCATATGGAGAGCCCCCACAGGGACACAGTGATGGGCTAAGTACCGAGACACAGGCGTCCACAGGAAATCCAGTCACATCTGCTCTGGAGCCTGCGAGCCCCAAATCGGGCCAACTCTGCTTTCTCCTGACAGACAGCCCCCTTCTCCTGCCCTCCCAGAAACAGCAGGGTCGGGGGTGGTGCTGCAATGGTTAAGTATGCAATTCTATTTGTGGCCTTTTGAGTTAAGTTCTGATAGTTCCCTTCACCATACGGAAAATAAGGGAATTAGCTAAAAATGTTAGCTTGCAAGCCATCGATTCAAGAAAAACCGAAACTTATGCCCACATAAAAAAAACGGGCGTATGAGTGTTCAAAGCAGCATTTGCATAATAGCCAGAGAGGGAAAAGAGCTCCACTGCCTGTCATCTGATGAATGTGGCATAGTAATACTCTGGAATATTATTCAGCAAGCAAAACAGATGAGACTGAGACGTGTGATGCCGTGGACGAACCTTACAACAACACATCATGCTGACCAAGAGCCTGGGAAAGGGTGGGTGCGCTGGAGGGTGATAGCAGAGGAGGGTGGTTTCTTATGTTCTACAACTGACGTGTAGATTGTCTGACTTGGCGAATGCATTAAAAACTACTGAATTCGGTCCCTTAAAGGGATGAATTGCAGAGTGTGTGAGTGATATCTCAATAAAGCTGTTAGTATTATTTAAATCTCTCTTTTCCCAAACTTAATCACCTTTGAAAAAATGTGACCAGGCTGGGGAAACAGATTTTTTTAAAAGATACCTAAAATGAGAATGCAAAAATGAATGACTTTTCCTTAGATGGAAAGAGTGACTTGCAGGGTCATGTATAGCCACAATATAGATATCATGTTTTGAATTTTTCAGACTTTTTTCCCTTACTTTGAAAGCATTAAAATATGTTTAATCAATGATACTGAGGTGGATTTCCTTCCCCTCATTTTTCTTTGCCTTTAGGCAACAGCATTCCAACTTCCTGTTAAGGAAACACCAATAGTAATTTCAGTGCATGTATTTGCATATTGCTGACATTAAAATCCTAGACTCTAGGATGCAGGCCTTGCCAATGGGTGTATTCTACCCAATTAATCCACTGGTTAACTCTCAGAAATCTGGTGAATCGGTTGTTAATCACAGTCGTTAAATTTTAAAGCATAGAACCATAAATGAATTATGTGAAAACTGAAGGCAGTATTCACACCTTATTACTTCCTAATCATTCAATTGCATTTTACTATTGTCTAGGCTCTTGACACTACTTGTACCTGTTGGATCTGTTACAGTGGCAATGTGCACAGTGACACAGAGACGTGCTACTGTGCATCTCTTCCCAACCCCATGTTCAGGAACCTGCCTTTGATAGCTTGAAATAGGCTACGGTGGCCAGACTTACATGATGTTTTTTATCTGGGCTTCTCCTTTCCTCACAAAGAGACTATTAAACAGTTACCACCTGGACTGCATTGAGTGGTGCCCCCCCAAAACATATCCCTGTCCCTGGAACCTGTGAATGTAACCTTATTTGGAAAAAGGTCCTGGCAGCTGTAATTAAGGATTTTGAATGAAATCATCCTGATTTCTCCCAGGGGGTCCTAAATACAGTCCCATGTGCCTTTCCAGGACAGAGGTGGAGGGTGATTTGACACAAACACACAGAGGGGAAGGGGAGGCAATGTGACTGCAGAGAGAGAGGCCACAATCCAAATCTTCCTGGAAGAGACAGGAAATAGAATCTCCTCCATAGCCACCGAGAGTAGCATCCCTCTGCTGACAGCTCAAATTCAGACCCAGAGCGTCTAGAAATGTGAAGGAATGGTCACTATTGTTTTAAGCCATCCAGTTTTTGGTGATTTGTTATGGCAACCACACAAAATGAATGCACCGTCATGAGACCCAAGGCAACACAGTGGGAAATCAGCAGGGGTGGCAAAGTCTTCCCTCCTTGCCACTGTATTTGCGTACAAATAAAAACATAAAGTATGGGTAAAGTATGGGTCTGAGGGGAGACATTCCTGTCAATATTGTTTGAGAAACTGGATCTTTTTCACCACTGGATTTTTTTTCTTACTTACACAAACCACTTAATTTCTTTTCATTTTAAACCCAGTTCCTAACTGTTATAGACATGTTCATGTTGAAACTGCTCATTTTCAAAATTAAAAATATATAACCTACTATGATTTGATCAGTTACTATCTGATTTAGGCATAGCTAATAAAAGACAATCAGCAAAAGGTATACCAGTTAGTGAAAATCTGCTCTCTACCTCAATTCAATATGTCCATTTGTTCCACAAACACTTATTGAAAGCATTTTATTCAGATAGATATCCATCCATTTAAGAGCTTACAACTTATATTCCACTAGTGAGTTTAGTATAATTTACGTTATTGAACTCACTAGTGGTACTCTATTAACTTCTCATTATGTATTCCATAATTTCTGAATCATTTTAAATTCATGTAATTTCATTATTTTTCCTAAAAATAATCTGTTTGGTGCATGATTTAAGTTTAAAATTCTTTCTGAGATCACCTGCCTCACAAGCACAAGGCCCCGAGTTCAATCCTTGCTACTACCCCCCACCAAAAAATAAATAAAATTCTTTCTGAGATGATGTTGAAGTACATTCACAAATCATACAAAAAAATCTTTGGTAAATTAGGTTGGAAAAAATATTTTGTGGTGATTTGCAATAATAGTGTACTTTTGATAGTTTTGTACTCTTGGGAATTTTTATTTGAAGACCAACATTTTTGTGAAAGGACCATGTCGCAAAAATTCTGAGAGCTAGACCTATTATTTTGAACTGTTTTAAACATAAAAATCAAATTCTCTTACCTTCTGCCTTTGCTATTTTTAGTTTTTTTCCCCAGGTTCAAGAGGTTTCAAATTAATTTGGTTCTCTATAATCTTTCTTTCCTCCACTTGCAAATACTTTCATTTTTTTGATGAACACATTTTGGATGATTTCCCAGTCAACTTTCTAATCTAATTAAATGCAGATAAGTTTAAGTCAGATAATATTTTATGGTCAGTTTTCTGATAGTGGGATAGCTGGAAGCCCAGCCTTCAGAACTGAAGTGCAACTCTACAAGTAAGGTTTGGTTGTTGTTAAACAGCCCCTCGTGAATACTGACACCGTTAGCTAAACTAAACTGGTACTTGCTGGTCTTAAATTAAAATGGAAATGGACTTTCAAGTACAATATTATTGTTTAGCACTTTCATATTTGCTATTAGTATTGCTTATCACTAGGAGAATATTTCTGGCATTTTCTCAGTAACAAACAATCCACAGCACATGTCAGGCACACAGATGATTTCATTCAGGACCTAGAGCGCACACTATCAGACAACAGTGTTAAGTGGAATCCATTCTCTGTGCAGCCTAAAACAAACCTCTCCTTGCTCTACCACAGCAGCCAGGATGCAGCACTGCTTATTGGAAAGAATCGCCTCCTTCAGAAAACTAGGGCCATTCAAAATGGAAGCTAAAGGAAAATGTGCAAAAATAAAAGCTTCATTTGAAAATTCCCTGTGTTTGTAGCCCCACAAGAGCCTAACATGAAAATTTGGGACACACTCAGGTTTTCCAAAGACAAAGACAAACAGATTCAAAATAAGTGTTTGCAGGAAAGACAAGGTGATGCTTTATTTCCTCAAACAAAAATCAACTTCTAAATAGTACTCTCTCTTGATGATGCTGCCAAAGGAGAGCCTCTGTTTTTTCCCTAAAGCTAAAAACAGACTCACCACCGAAGTAGAAGTAGAAGGAACTGGAAAAATTCCATGATTTGTTTCTCTATGGCAACTTTGCGCTGAGACAAAGGCCTGCTTTACCCTAAATTGTTTTCTTCGTGGGGAGCCCCCCATTAGAAACTAGATGAATGGATACAACGAAGCAGTTGTGCAGCTCCAGCTCTAAAAGCCCTTTTCTTTTTTAGTCAAGCACCTCAACATCTGCCCAGGAACTGGAAGAGAGGCACAGCGAGGAGAGGAGCTGGGCTCCAGCAACATTTCAGAGCGGCCTGGACGAAAGCTTGGACGACCACAGAAAACCTTCCTGCCTTGGACCCCAATCCAGATCGATGACCTAATATATCTTTCCCCACACCGACTGCCACGTTTTTATGAGCATCGAGAACTGGGTGTCTGCCATCAGCAACAAAGAGAGCTTCTCCAGGGCACTCCTGTCCTCCGAATCGCCAGGGTCCCGGCCGCTAGCCACACCACACCGGCCCATGTACGAGCTGAGCAAGACACTTCAGCAGGGTGATTCTTAGGGAACAGGGAGAGTCCCTGTCACGGCCTGGCCGCCTGGGCTTCAGAACGCTGAGCCAGAGTGGATGTTTCCCTGAAGCCCACCGCGAAGCCAAGGAAGAAATTCTGCTTCTCAGAGGGGCCTGGTCCCGAATTTATATTTGTAATGTTTCCCTTTAATTGCACAAGCTACAGACTCCTCCCAAGAGAAATGGATAGAAACACTGTACCACACTTTAGCCTGATAAAAGTACACCATTTAAACGGACACTCCCTTTTGTCCTCCATGGACAGGCCACCATCCCGTCAGGCCATCTTGGAGACAAGCTAGGTTGAGTCTCTGGCTGTCTGCTGTCCTTTTTGAAATACAGCAGTGGTTCAAAAAGTGGCTGTGGTTTACATTTATTTACTTCAGCTCCTCCTTGAAAGAAGACTTAGTTGTGGACTCATTATTACCACCACTTATGGATGTAAAGACTGGAAGAATTTTCCTGCCTGGGCCTCACTTTTATTACATGGTATCACTGTCCCAGGGTGGCTGAGTTTTGTTTTATAGTGAAGTTGGTGGATCTGGACTTTTCCCATGAGACTCAGAGGACCAAGCCATAGAAATTTTGTTGTTGTTCTGACCACAAAAGTAATGGCATATACATTTACGTGGTTGCATGGTTGCATACATCTGCATGCATAAATAACTTGGAATATTATAATTTATAGCATAGTGAGTGAAAATCTTCCATAATCCCTTATCGTCGAGAAAAGCCATTCTCTTTTTTCCAAGACATACATTAACATTTATTATTTCACAAAAAGGGATTGTACTCTTACAACCCAGAAGCGTGTTCCCTGGCTGGCAATGTCTTCCGTGTCTTTCCATGTTAGTCTATAAAGAGTGACGTTGTTTTAAATCTTCTTTTCTGTGGCTCCATGGTGCTGTGCTGCACGCTGAACCATACTTTCCTAACCAATTGCCTGTGCACACTTGGGTTCTGTCCCATACTCCCTGTTGCAAAGTGTTTCCCAACCCAAACATCACTTTATACTTAAACATCTTTCAGCAGTTTGGGGAATCTTTCTTTATGATGAATTCCCAGAAGGTGAATTATTATTGGGTCAAGAGTTTGAGCATTTCATTTTAATAGCTGTTGTCAGATTCCCCTCCCCTAATGTTACTCCCATTTACACCCCAAGCCACACTGTAAGAAGGACCTGCTTCCCCAGGCCCTTACGGATGCTACAAGCATGCCACTTGGGCATGTGTGATGTGAGTTAAGTGGCTGTTCCCTTGTGAAAGCTAACAAAGAGATCCAAAGTCCCCCCCTTTCCTGGGCAAGCCAACCACCTAGGCAGCTAGTTAATTGGAAAGGCAAAAAGTCTACAACCTAATGCTGGCATCTGGGCGGGTTTACTACAGATAACTTGTCAGTGAGTATGTAAGAAACTGTGAGTAATTAATAACTTAATTATTAAAGAAATATACATTGGTTCCGATTTTCAGCAGTTTTTATAATTATAACACACGTTAATAGTACAGATAACAGGTTTCCTTGTGACATTTCTGTACATGCACACTCTGATTTGATCATATCTCCCCTCTATTCTCTCTTGCCCTTTCCTTCCCTACGCTGCTGTTTTAATATAAACAATGCATTTAATCTGGGAGCATCAAAATATTTATATTTGCACAATCCTTCTATCTCATTGCTCATTTATTCAAAGTAGCTATATATATATAT